CAGCGAGCGCATGAAGAACCTACCTGGGAGCAGGTGACACCAATGGCACCTGGCTGCTGGGACATCGCAGCACGGGCTCCCCGTCCTCCCCCGGGAGAAAGCCCCCCCCAGAGCAGCCGTGTCCAAGGAACCGGCCCAATTCCCATGTGGAGCGCTCCCTCTGCCAATGAACTCCTCTCCCAGGGGAGGAAATGATAGGAGTTGCTTTTAATAGGACTTTGATCTCTTGGGCTCTGCTCAGACCCGCTCCTGGCGCTGTGGGAAAGGGCACTCAGCATTTATCGGGCAAACACCCTTCTCACCTCTGCCAGCCCACACGGGCCCAGCAACATTAATAATAAACTTCAGGCCTGGTCTCTGCAGCTGGTTTGGGGAGGCAAATCACTTTTTAAATTCCTATTTATACTTAGTGATACTTATGATTTAGAATCAGTATCTGGCAGGCTTGTCCTGGTGTGATTTAGTAGTTTATTCCCAGGCATTTGCAGGAATAAGTCACAGGATATCAATTTCCTTCTAATTCATCTAACCACTCTCTATGGGAAGCTGGAGCCCTGGAATGATGCAGTTCCTGGTCAATGCATGGGCAGGTGTTTCAGTGAGTATCTCCATACACACCTGTACACCCAACCAGAGCCACTGTCAGCCATGAACCTGCTGGAAAAGCCACTCAGTTATTGAGGAATCACACTGAAAACACCACCAACCTGTGCTTTGTCCAAAGGGATTTGGATGCCACAGGCTCCAGTCCCTCATGGCTGGTGTTTGCTCTGCACCCTGATGCTGACAGCTGTGTTCCAGCTGTTTCACACCTCAGCACACGCCAGGCCGTGGGGAAACACTGGGGACGCTCCAGATGATGTGCCCAGGGTGCATTTATTCCCACCTCTGTGCTGTTTTGCCCTCCTCAGCTTCTGTGTGTACACCTGTACCTCACCCTGTTCCACCCCAGGCTTTTCTAGAGCAAAAAATTCTTAAGTATCTCCAAAATGGGAAGTCTAAGTAGCCATTGCTATGAAACTGGAGAAGGCAATAATTAAAGTGACTCTGAGCTCCTTGTAACAAAGTTTCACCCAGCCTCCTGGCATTAGTGACAGTGCAGTGAGCTCTCAAAAGTAACAAATTAAATGTATTAAAAGCTGTTACCACCAGAAATTTTGTTTTCCCTGAGCCTGAACAACTCAGCCGAAAGGGGCATTATTTCCTTTCCACCTTACGAAACAGCGCAGTGAGTGTTTACCCACACCTCCCAGACCACTGCGTGGATACACAGCTTTTTGCCTCTGATAAATAATTAACATTTTCCTTTAGAAGAGAGAAAACGAACCCGAAAATGAGGACCAGAGGCAGGGGAGATGACATCCCTTGGGCAGCAACAGCCCGGGCACACGTGACAGCCCTGTCACACCACGGTGCCACGTTTGCTTGAGTGGCAGCCCGGACACTGAGGGGCAGGACACGCTCCCAACACATTCCCAACGTGCCAAGCTCCATCCTGGTCCTGCCATCCTCTGAGCCCAGAGGCCGAGGATGCAGAGCCTCATGCAGTGGGTGATCCCAGCTGCTCTGCGCTCTGGGAACCTCAGGGACACAGACACCTTCAGGAGTGTCTGTTTGTGTTCCCTGTGTGTATCCTACGTGCTACAACTCCAGGGCATCTGGGACCTGTTCTTCTTGATCCTGAGAGCCTTCCCGTGGGGGCAGGGACCTGCCTCCACAGTCTGGGCAAATACAGTAAAATAGTGATGTAAGTCAAGGTGTAACTTAAGGCAGCAGTTTTCTCCAAAAGACAACTTTTATTATTGAATTGTTATTTATCTTAGGAAGATAAATGCTAAGATGGCACCAAGAGGGAGCATGGATTCTGGATTTCTACTCGCAATGAAACTTTGTGACTGACTCTGGGGGTGAAGGTGCCCCACAGATCAGTGTGATTTGGGGAAGGGCAGAACAGAGGGGCTGAGCCCCAGCTCTGAACACTCCCTCCACAGGGCCAAAGGTCGGGCTCTGCCATGGGGCAGCCGCATCCCAGCCCCACTGCCCACTGCCAATCCAGGTC